TAGTCCCCAGAACTGTGAGAAATACATTTCTGCTCTTTATGAATTCCTGGCTTGTGTATTTTGTTATAGCAGCCCAAACAGACTAAGAAGGCATCCCTAATCTAAAGATAAAATTTGATATTAATAAAGTTTAGAAACGTTTGGGGGCCAAAAAAATCAAAATGACAATGTCAAAAGACAGTTTTATTTCTGTGCAAAAGCAGCAAACATCTGAGTAATGTTATTTTTCAAAACACTATTAGTAAGGTTGATAAGTGGAAAAATGAGACTTGTTGAAACTGTTCCAGGAATGGGGGGAGAGGGAATAAAGGAGAATGATGGAGGGGTGAACTCAACTATGATGTACTGTAAGACCTTTTGTAAATGTCCTCGCAGATCCCAAGTACAACAATAATGAAAAAGAAAAAGAAAATAAGGTGCATAGGTATGAGTTACTTAAATATATGAAAAATGTAGGAACAAAATAAAACTTTAATAAAACATAAAAATTTAACAGAAGACATTAAAACATGAAAAATCTAGGGATTTTACACTTTAATTAAAATTTTAATAAAATGTGTACAATTTTAAAGACATTAAAGTCATTAAAAACATGAAAAAAGAAGGGATTGTGGGAGCAGAATAGAAGAAGCCTATGAGGACATAAGCACAGTTGTACTTAATGTTCTGCAGGCTGAGTTAAGCACAGCCCCAGGTGCAGAATAGGGTGAGAGTAAGATGCAGAGCAGCTGCTTTTCCTCAGATGTTTGTATCAAATAATCTGTAGGCTGAGATGTGGCACAGCCCCAGCTGCAGAAGACAGTGAGAAGGGAGATGCAGCTCAGCTGCTTTTCCTAAGTTGTTTCCATTCCGAGAAGCAGGAACACAAGTTCCTCTTGTTACAATGTCATACCCTCCCCAAGAACCATTGCTCCACCTCCTTGTTTACTACTGCATATAAAAGACTCACTGAAGGAGGATGTGAGGCCTTTTGATCTGGGTGTTTTTTGGCTGAAGGGAAATTGATGGAGGGAGATTGCTGAAGGGAAAAGAATTGCCAAAGGGGAATTGCTAAAGAGGGGTTGATGGAATTGGTTGGCAGTTTGTGAAGGAATGGCTGCTGTTGATTGTCTGCAAGTCTGAGGGTCAAGACTTTAAGAAAGCTAAAGAGAGAACATGGGACAGTGCAAGTCTGCACTGAGAACTTTATACATAGGCTTTAGAAAAGCTAAACTAAAGAAAAGCTAAAGAGAATGTGGGACAGTGCAAGTCTAAGGACCAGGGCTTTAAAGAATAGAAAAGAAGACTTTAGAAGCAAGGTTTTAAAGAATTGTAAAGGAATAAGGCCTTAAAGAATAGAGAAGAGAATAATAGAGAAAAGAAGTGAAGCAAAAGAAGAGCTATTAGAGAAAAGAAGCAACAAGGCTGTTGTGCGTCTCCATCCAAGTGCCCAGCACACCCAATCCCAAGTTTCTGCATGTCTGTATGTCTATCCTTTGTCCTTTCTGCATCTCCTGTCACCCTCAGTTAGCCCCAGTTAGGTTCAATAGTAACGGGAGTGAGAGAATGCTCGCTCCAAGGGATATACACGTTCATGGATAGACTGTATATCATAAAGATATAAATTCTCCCAAACTGGAATTCAGTGCAATTCCAATCAAATTCCAACAAGGTTTTCCACAGAATGTAACAAACTAGTAAATTTTAAAATTAAAGAAAAAAAGGACTGGAGATGTGACTCAAGCTGTAGAGTGCCTGCTTTTGCACAAATCCCAGTCCCATGGGAAGGGGAGAAGAGAAGGGAAAAAAATTACAGAAATGTCACAAAAAGGAAATAAGGTTTCTAGTATATTTCTAGTATCCTCCAGCTATGAGCTTAATTAAGATTACAGAGTGGGATAAGGGAGAGAAATGGAGGAGGTGAACCTAACCAATGTACAATGTAAGCACATTCAGAAACATCACAATGAGGGCTGGTGGAGTGGCTCAAATGGGAGAGTGTCTGCCTAGCAATCATGAGGCCCTGAGTTCAAACCCCAGCACCACCCAAAAAAATGATGTCTCAGAAATCCCCCCCATACAACTAATGTATGCTAATAAAATGCTTTGAGGGAAAAAAAAAGGCAAAGACCAAGAATTTCAATATCTGAGAGTACCTGATAATGGTTTATGTGTGAATGAGAGTAAGTGAAGTCTTGCTTATTTGTAGAATAAGTCAGAGTCAGAAACAAGGACAGCGCCAACCAACCACAGATTGTCCAGTGCACCAGTGAGGTGGTGGCACCTTTGCTTCCTGATGGTTCAATGTGCATAAACTTTGTTTCATGTAAAAATTATTTAAAATAGTGTATAAAATTACTTTCAGGCTATGTGTATAAGGTGTATATGAAACAAATTATAGCATTATACAGATGTGAATATTCTAAAATCTGAAATACACACACACCTGCCTAGTGATTGCAAGGCCCTGAGTTCAAACTCCAGAACCACCAACAAGACAAACAAAAAACCCAAAGTCCAAATACTCTGGTCCCAAGCATTTCAGATAAGGGATATTGTCCCTGCTATAATCTAAATATTAGCACAGAGAAATGTAAGTGGATAACTGTGACAGAAAAGTAGTCCTGTATGTGTGAGAACTTGATTTATGACAGAACTGGCATTGCAGGTCAATGGATATTGATAGCGTAGGCAAGAACCATTTGGGGGACAATTGTGTGTTCCTTTTGAGAAAAAGAAATTTGAATCTCAATCTAACTACAAAATAATGTGCAGATAAAAATTTGGAAAATATTTAGAAGGAAACATTGAAGAATATATTTATGACCTTTTATACACAGGAAGAATTTTTTTTTTGGTGGTACTAGGTTTTGAACTTAGGGCCTTATGCTTATAGGGCAGGTGCTCTTCCACTTGAGCCACATCCCCAATCCAAGACCTACTATAATCAAGATATTGTAGGAACAGTAAAAATAAATTACTTTCATGTGTCAGCTTGACTAAGTTAAGGAATGCCCAGGAGAGGGTGTTTCTGGAGGAAATTAGTATTTGAGTCAGTAGACTGATTGATGAAAGTCTTCCTTAGCCATCCAGTCCATTGTGGACACAACTACTACAAAAAGGCAAAGGAAAGGCGAATTCTCTCTTTTTTCTTAAGCTGAGATATCCTCCTTTCGCCTTGGGACATCAGAGCTCTTGCTGCCAGGCCTCGGGACTTCAGGACTTCCAATTAAGGCTCTGACACTGACTTTGATGGCTCTTGCAGACAGCATACTGTGGGGCTTGTACACCTCTACTGTCTAGCCATTCCCATAATAAATCTCTTACATCACAGATATACTGTTGCTTCTGCTTCTCTAGATAACTCTGCCTTATACAATGACTTTTTTTTTTGGCACTACTGGGTTTTGAACTCAGAGCCTTGTGCTTGCTAGGCAGGTGTTCTACCACTTGAGCCACTCCACCAGCCCCTACAATGACATTTTTAAAAGTTGAATTAGGTGGAGATATTTACCATATATTTAACCAACAAAAGATTACTTTCAGTCCACAAAATATATTTTAAGCTACAAATCAAAAAGAAAAGGACATGAATAAACACACTATAAGATAAAGCAGAAACACCTGGACTCAGTGACTCACTCCTGTAATCCTAGCTACTTGGGAGAGGGAGATTGGGAGGATCATGGTTTGAGGCTAGCGAGGTTGCAACCTCATCTCAACTAATGGCTGGGTGCAGTGATGCACCTGTCATTGAAGCAATGTGGTAATGCAGGAAGGGTCTCATGTTTTTGGACAGGGCCAATCTCAGTTTTAGATCCTACCTACAGCCTCCCCTGTAGATGGGACCCTGACAGGTATGTTCTACCATGCCTGGCTTATTGGTTGAGATGGGGTCTTGCTAACTTTTTGCCCAGGCTGGCCTCCCACTATCATATTCCCCATCTCTACCCCTAGAGTAGCTGGGATTAGAGGCTTGAGCTACCATGCCTGGCTCTTTTCTTTTCTTTTTTGAGACAGTTCTCATTGTTGGAAAAAATCTCTGGATTATGAAGTCAGTCAGCAAAGCAAAAAGTTTTACTTCTGTAGAAGGTGTGCAACTGACAAAGGTCCGGTGATCAAGCACACTGAGTGGGAAGTCCACTGGAGACTTTATCCCTGATGCAACACTGCCCCCTTCTCCTATTGGTAGGAGTCAACTTTCACAGTCTTTCTCCATTAACTATAGATGAGGTAAAGGGCAAGGATAACATTTAATATTCCAGGAAGCTGTGAGTTAAGCAAGCATAACAAGCTGCTGCTTTGAAGTGGGTTTACCTGGGTTGCTATTTCTTTGAAGGAAAAGACAAGCTATCCCATCACTGTGCAGCCCAGTGGCCTTGAAGTTGATTCTCCTGCCTAGGCCTCCTGAGTGCTAGGGTTATGATTTGCTGCTACACTTGGCTGGGAATAACTTTATTATGAAGACTATAAGTGTATATTTTTAGTAGTAAAATAAAGATTCACAAAGTTCAAAATATAAATGAAGCATCAGAAGAAAGGCGTAACTAAATCTTGTCAGTGGGTCCATTTATGCAAGACTCAGAAAGTCCCTTCTGACATCTCAGTCCCTCTTTCTTTCTCTCTCTCTCTCTCTTTTTTTTTCTGGTGGGCCTGGGGTTGGAATTCAAGGATTCACACTTGTAAAGCATGTGCTCTGCCACTTAAACCACACCTCCAGTCCATTTTGCTCTGGTTATTTTGGGGATGGTGCCCCATGAACTATTGGCCCAGACTGGCCCTGACCCACAATCTTCTCTATTTCTGCCTCCCAAGCAGCTAGGATTGCAGGCATGAGCCACCATCGCCCAGCTTCACTTCTTAGTCTCTATGACATCATCAGTTCTGCATGCAGCAGGTTGATGCAGAACCTGCAGACTGGAGGTCACATCCACTCTGCACAGGGTGGTATGACCAGGCTCAGGGTAGCATAAGCTGAGGCTCCATCTGCTTTCTAAAGACATGCTAATAAATTGAGATCATTACATTGTTTTCCTGCCCCAAACCTTTCTTAAAGCTTCCTTCACATCTTTGTTTCTCAAAGAGTAAATTAAGGGATTCAGCATTCGGATCACCACCGTGTAGATCACAGCAACTGTGCAGTCCTGGGTCAAGGAGTAGCTGGACCTGGGGCGCAGGTACATAAAAAGTGTAGTGCTGAAGAAGAGGCAGACAGCAGTGAAGTGGGAAGCACGGGTGGAAAATGCCTTGAACCTACCCTGGGCTGAGTTCATTTGCAGGATGGTGATGAGGATTAAGAAATAAGAGATCAAGATGGTCAGGGTGCAGCTCAAAAGGTTGAAACCCGCAAAAATGAAGAGCAGGATCTCACACAGTGAAGTGGCCACACAGGACAGAGACAGGATGGGTGGGCCATCACAGAAAAAGTGCGTGACCACGTGAGCACCACAAAATTTCAGACTGAAGATACAGCTTGTGTGGATAAGGGAACTGAGAAATCCTGCACTGTAGGAACCCCCAATCACAGAGGCACAGACCTCAGGAGATATGATGGGTGGGTAGAGCAGAGGGTTACAAATGGCGACATGGTCATAGGCCATGGCAGCAATGAGATAGCACTCACTGGTGGCGAAACCCGCATAGAAGAACATCTGAGAAATGCAACCAGGATAGGAGACAACTTTCTTTTAACCAAGAAATTCACCAGGGTTTGAGGGACAACTGTGGAGGAGTAGCAGAAATCCAAGAAGGAGAGGCTCTGCAGGAAGGAGTACATGGGTGTGTGCAGGGTGGCACTCACCTGGATCAGGAGGAACATGACCAAGTTCCCCAGCAGAGTGATGATGTACATGCCCAGGAACACCACGAAGAGCAGCGTCTGGAGCTGGGGGTCACTAGTGAGGCCCAAAAGCTCAAACTTGATCTCTAGGCTCAGGTTTGTCCCTTTCATATTTATCCACCTTCCTTGGCTATGGGGCTACAGGGGCTCTACTGGAAGTGAGGCTGAACACCAGGGGGGTCTTAGGAGTTTAGATCTGCCCTAAGGACTACCTTCTGAAGATTAGTTTTAAGGTGGACATTGGGCTTTGTAAATGGAATTTTAGCATAAGAAAGGATCTTCTCTACTTGGATGGTTGGTTGGTTGGTTGGTTGGTTGGTTGGATAGATGATTGGTGGGTTGGTTGGCTGGTTGGGTGGTTGTCTGGTTGGTTGGTTGGTTGGTTGGTTGGTTGGTTGGATGGTTGGATAGTCAATTGGTTGGTTGGCTGGTTAGTTGGTTGGTTGGCTGCTTAGTTGGTTGGTTGGTTGGGTGGTTGGATGGTTGGTTGGTTGGATGGATGGATGAATGGATGGATGGATGGACAGTACGTGTTAGTTGAGAAGCAATGGAAAATATAAAAGGAATATATATAATTTGTCTCTCAGGGCTCATAAAAATTTTAAGTAATGAAACATTCACTCACCAGATGCATATTTACAGTTTTATATATGCATAGTTCTGTGTTCTTCCTATCAGAAATTCAAGAATGCGTAACCTCAGGAAGTTTATATTCTAGTGACAGTGTATTTTGTATAATCACAGACTCTAGTATCAAACTGCCAAAGTTCACAGTCAGGACTTCACCATTACTAGCTTGTGTAACTTCTGGAATGTAATTTAATCTCTCCAACTTTCAGTTTCTCATCTGTAAAATAAGAATAACAGCACCTATCACAAAATGCTATAAAAACTCGGTGAGTTGAATATAAATCACTTAAACAAAGTCTAGCACATGGAAAAAATTCAAGGTATGTAAGCCATGAATATTATCATTGGGGAGACATAAATAAACATGGTAAGTGGGAAAAAATAACAACAACAAAATTTAGCAAGCAACCTACCACCAAACAATATAGACAAATTAGAAGGCCTCAGAGGAGCTCAAGTGCTTCATTGGCTCAGTGAACTCAGCACTAGCCAAGCCCTACCATGTGATGAGGTGATGAGGCCTGAGAGATGTGTAAGGAGCAAACTGAGACTGTGAACCAGGTATCATCAGCCAGGGGAACCACTATCCATCATTTGTGAAGGTGCCAGTCATTTCCAGTGAACAGAGTGACCCTGGACACTGGGGCTGTTGGGACCAGCAGGGAAGGATCAGCCTCTGTAACAATGCCTTTTCTACTAGGAATGAACAAGGCTAGGGGGGGTGTCACCTAACACCACAACTCCCTGCTACATTGGCTCCTCTGCCACCCACACTCCTGAATTACTTCTGGGTCCTGGAGTGAGTAAGCACCCACTGTTTTTTGGTGAGGACTCTCAGCCATGAAGACTGTGACACCAGGAGGCAGGACTAGGTAGGAAGAGAAAGAACAAATGTGAGGCATGTCTTCCTGCCCTGAGGAAAGGAAGTAAATAACACACCTGTGAAAGGGTTGGACTCCTTGACTTCCTCCCTGTGATAGCACAGTGACAGAACACACACAGCACATCACCCAGTCAAGCAGCCAGTGAGTTTCTTCAAGCAACCGTGATTCCAAATAACTAAAATAATTTATTTTTCTATCCATAAAGGTTGGAAGCCAAGAACTTTTGTTGTTTTTCATGTTTATAGTTCATTATGGAATTAATTTATGAATAGAAGTGTAAAATATTTTTATTGTTTTGTATAGCACTGATTTTTTCATTTTATGCACCCAGTAAACTACTCTCTGGAAAAATACCTGAAAACATTACTAATTCTGTAAGAGGACAACTCCATGAAAAGGCAGTTCCAGGTTTGCATTGCTCACAATTGCATTTAAAATGTTCATGAGCTCTGTAATTATTTTTCTATTTGTAGCAATAGAAAAATTCTTCTGTCCTTCAGATTTTTGGAAGGCTTTCATAGGGTGGAGATGCTGATAAAAAGCTTAAGAAAATCTCAATTCTTTTTAAAATTAAAGTACACTTTTAAGTCCTTCACACTGTGGATCTCTTCTGCTCTAGATTTTATGAACTATTAGCTGACCAATTGGACAGGAAAATTAGATGCGCTATATACAAGAAAAGGAAATAAAATCAAAGTAGGTTGGAGCAAATTATAAATACAGTACATTCTACAAAGCAGTACATGTTTTTCAGTTTTGCAGTTGATAGTAAATGACATATTTGATTTAAAAATTCAAACTTACCAGTGTAGCATATTTTTTAAAGATGCAAAACTCAGTGATAGCAAAAGAATGAAGAATATAAACAGTTTCTGAAAAGAAAAGCAAAAAAAAACAAAAAGATTTAAATTGTTCATTATAACAGGGAGAAAAATGCAGATTAAATAGAATTATATATTTATCATAAAGGACTGACATTAGGTTATTCGGTCAAATAAAAGAGTGTTCCTGTTGATAAAAAAAAATAAATAAACTGAAAGCACCTTGGTCCAAGGTTCAATGAAAAAACTTGCTGTATGTGCAGGAAAATCGATCCGATAGGTCTATAGCAAGGCCCAAATATCTGGTGATTTTGAAACAGGTGGTTTCTGACCACACTTTGAGAAACACTGAACTATGGGGTACATGCAGGGGCAAACGGATCTTCTTCCTGGGCCATTTCTAAGTACCCTCTCCTAACGTGCTAGAATTCTCCGTGTCCTGGGACATCAGCCTGTGGGTAGGATGGTTGTCCTGAACATCCTTTTACTTCCAGAAGATACAATAATCATCGATGATTTTCAGATATGTGAATATTTCCTGATGATAATCACACCCCAGGTGAGATATTCCTCAGCATACTATTTAGTTCTAGCAAAGCACATGGTCTGGTGGTAGAGCTGCTGCCCTGGGGCTTGGAACATAACGCTTGAGTAGAACAGCGAAGAGAAGGCAGACCCACCGAATCCACTGGCGAGGCCTGAGGAGCAGAGTTGGTTAGCTAAGGACTTTAACCCCTCACGTGGTGATTGCTGTAAGGCAGCCCCATCTCCTGCCAGCTCCTCACAACTGGAGACCCTCCAGAGCCATCTTTCCCCCTGGGCAGCTTGCACTTACAGAGGAGGACAAGTTCATTGATGGGATTTCAGCGTGCAGGTGAGGATAATTAGCCTACTAGACACATTAAAGAGTTTGCAAAGTTAACATCTCCAACAGTCTCTCCCCTAGAGTAATGGGGTGTCTGAGAATCTGGAAATGAGGGAGGTGGACCTGAGCCGGATCCCTGCTGATGGTTAGCCTCAAAGGACTGATTTACCTCAACTCAAAACTTCACTCTTATGTCACTATTATCAGTATTTACAATGTACTGGAAAGCTGAGTTTCTCTTTCTTCTGTGCCAGTTACCCATGTACATTATTAGTGCCTTGGATTAGAGCCAAAGGACCTTTCCACTCCTCAAGATTACAGTCAAACTAGAAGTATGAACCGGGCGCTGGTGGCTCACGTCTATAATCTAGCTACTTGGGAGGCAGAGATTGGGAGGATCACAGTTCAAAGACAGCCTGGGGAAACAGTTCATGAGACCCCCATCTCCAAAATAACCACAGTAAAATGGGCTGGAGGTGTGGCTCAAGCGGTAGAGCACCTGCCTTGTAAGCGTGAAGCCCTGAGTTCAAACCCCAATTCCACCAACAAAAAATATGTTTTTTCATTTTGGGGGGTTTTATTGATTTTGGTTTTTGGTACTGGGGGTTGAAGTCAGGCCTTAAGCTTGCTATGCATACACCCTTTCACTTTATCACTTGAACCATGCCTTCCGCCCAATGTGTAGCCCAGGTTGGTCTCCAACTCCTGCCTCCTCTTTACCTCGTTGATTACGGGTGCCTGCCACCATGACTGGCAAAAACTATGTTATTTAGTTCCTGAATTTTAGGAGAATTCTACGAATCTTTCTATTATTGATTTCTAGTTTAGTCATATAGTCAGAGAACATGCTGTGTATGGTGTGAGTGTTTTTGAATTTATTGAGATTTGCTTTATGGCCTAGAATATGGTCTATGTTGGTGAATGTTTCACGTCCACTGGAAAAGAATGTATACTCTGCTCTGTTGCGGAGAGCTCCATCGGTGTCAGTTCGGTCAAGTTGGGTGGTAGTGTGCTCAAGTCAAATGCATCCTTCCTGTTTTTATGCCTGCTCGGTCTATCAGTGGGTGAAAGGGAGGATCTTGAAATCTTGAGAGCTTGTTTGGAGGTTCTAGCAGGAGAGCGTAGCTACTCATATACCCTTGACTGAAGAACGGTCCTCCTCTATTGGGAATGGTCGTTCTCTTTGACCCAGCACGCAGCTTTGGGAGGGACGCACATGGAGCGGTGAAGGAGGAAAGAGGACACCCGCCTAGCCAGCCAGATCAGCCGAATCAACCCTGGAGATGAGTGGGGTGACAGATGTCACACCCAGATCGCCCTCACATCCTCTTGAATTATAATCAAGGATTTGCTTACTTTTCTTTGCAGCTCTTCAGTTTTTATTTCATCTATTTGAAGTTCTGTTACTAGCTGCACAAGTATTGATTGTTCTGTCCTTTGATAAGTTTGTCAGTTATTATAAACTGATTTTGTGCCTGCTAATAATTTTTATTATGAAATATACTTTGTCTGATATTAATGCAGCCACTACAGGTTTATTTTGATTACTGTTAGTGTGGCAGATTTTTTCTCAATCCATTCACTGTTGACCTGTTTGTGTGTTTATAGGCTCTTTTTTTTAAGTTTTAGCAAGATTTATTTTAGTATAGCAAGATAAAGTATAGACAATGTGGGGGGAGGACAAATATTTCCTGTTCCCCACTCAGGAAATGGGAGCAAAGACTCTTGTTTATAGAGGTTTTTTTGGTTTGGTGGTACTGAGATTTGAACTCAGAGCTTCACACTTGCTAGGCAGGCACTCTACCACTTCAGCCACCCCACCAGCCCTTTTTTGTACTGGGTTTTTTTGAGATACAGTCTCTCGAACAGTTTGCCTGGGCTGGCCTTGAACCTCAATCCTCCTAATCTCTG